ACTTACTTAAACATCACAAAATCCAAGCTAGATCTACTAATCTGAGGTACTAATTTCACTCACTTAACTCACTGACTTAAATAGATCTATATATATTATATTTATATATATTATATTTATATTATACTAATATATTTATATATATATATAAAACATAGTAATATAACAGCATCATCAATCCTAATTATTTTTATGGGAAAATGATGAATGGGAGTAGCCAAAGATAGGCTTGTGTCTAAAATGTATGAAGTAGTGTATAGGATAGATATCTAAGTTTATTAGGAAACCATAGCCAGATTGCGTTTGGTGCTGAGCTTGCTACATATGCACAGCATAATATCAGTCATCACTACACTGTGTAGACAAACAATTGTCCAGGCTACAAAACAACGTTAAGTTCCCTTTTTTATCTTTAGTGAGTCCAGAGCTGTCTCAGTTGTTTTACTAATGCCCCAAATTAGATTTACTTAAAACAGCAATAAAAGGAACTTTAGTTTAAATGCTGTAGATCGTCTACTTTAGTTCTTTTTTAAAAAAGTTTAATACCGACATAAAGAAACACTAGATCTACTTGTTTGGTACATGTATAATAAAAAAAATAAGTGAACATAAGAATGAAAAATACAGTTTCCTGTTCAAATGTCACTAGGGAAAGTTTTATGCTTTATGAAGAGCTTCAGTGCCTTCCTACACCTAATTGAAGAAAAACTTGAATTTTTTTCTATGACTCATCTTGGTTTAATTTAAAGCCAAACTGGTTTGTTTTTTTGTGGGGTTTTTTTTGGGGGGGTATTGAGATTCGGGAGGAGAGAAAGGGTGGGGTGATTGGGAACATGATACCACATCTTAATTCATACTTCTTTTTATAAGTTCGATAGACCCTATAGATCTACGCTTTGATTCAGTCAATAAGAAATAAACCACTTCGTAGATATAGCGCTGATGAAGAATTAAAGGTTTTTTGGGGGGTTCCATTTTTAAGCCTATATCTCTATCTCTATCTATTTAATAATACATTTGTTTGTAGATCTAAGTAGTAAAAAGAACGTTGTATTATTGCTATTTAGTAACCTAGATAGTACGCCACGGCGCCCACGTAAAAAAAAAAAGTTAACAAGGACCAAGCCGATCGCCTATCGCGTATGAGGGAGAGAAAACATGCCTGGCCCATTGCTTTAGCTTGAATTCCTTCACACAACTCGCCCACCGAAACATGGCGGACGCCGCTGTCAAATGTGGCCATCGCACAGCAAGGCGAGAGGGGGGCGTACGGTATCTAGTGACTATAGTGTACATCTATGATATATATATATATATATATATATACATGATGTATATATATATTTAGAATCTAAAGAAGGTAGGACCATCAAATTAAATGACGTTACACTATGCAACACCCCCCCCCCCTTTCCCCAACAAAAAAAATTGATAGAAAAACAACACATCAGAACAATAACAAGAAAAAAAAATTACACACTAACAAAATAAAACACCACAAAGAGTCAAAGAGGGAAAAATAAAAGTAACTATAACGTATTCAACAAATCAACGTGGTGACAACAAGTGAGAAAGAGCCTAAGTGAAGCTAAGTGAACTTTCTTTCAAAAGTAAAGAGGTTCGGTTTCTTTCTTTTTTTCTTTTAATTTGACTTTTATTCCCCGACCAAAAAATGCAAAAAAATCTAGCCACGATTAATTGGTCGCGGCCGCAACAAACGCAGAAGCTAGTTCTAGATCTATGTGTCGTTATCAATAACCCTCCGTAGATCTAGATCTAGACAGTAGACAGCACACGAGTGAACACAACACATTAAGTTTAAGAGCAGCACCCTTCATAGGCAACACGTCATATCTGTAGTGAAAAACTGGAACTGTAGCATTTCTTTATATAAATATTTACTGCGGACATTTTTTGGACCGATTGAACCATATTGTATACGAACAATCTTTGGTAGGCCTATACTCTATATAATATCCGAAAGGAAGAGGCTAGCCGTACTTAATGACGTACTAGAC